GTAATGGCGGCAGCGTTCCCGCCCTTTCGACGTCACATCGACGCGCCCGCCCCCGCCTACGGTGGCCGCGGGGCTGCTCAGGGCCCGGCAGCGGGGTAACCCCGCATTAGGCGCTGAGGAGCCGGCGAGGCCCGGAGCTGCCCCGGCTGAGGGATGGGGATCCTCTTCACTAGGATATGGAGGCTGTTCAACCATCAAGGTGAGGAGGAGGAGGAGGAGGAGGAGGAAGGCGGCCTGAGGGTGATCCCCGGCTGGGCTGAGGGCTCGGGGAGAGCGGGGGCCCGCCCTTGTAAACCGGCACGGCTTCGGCCACCGGGGTGGCCCAGGAGGACGAGCCGCCGCCAGAAAAGTTAAGGGGGGGTGTGGGGTGAGATGTGTTTAACCCTTTTTTTCCCCTCCTCGAAGTCACTGTGAAGCTCGTTTCCTGAAAGGTGGGTGTTAAATGATTAACGTGGGCCGAAAGAATACAGCCGCGGTGCCTTGTTGGCGTCTAGTTTCAGCCTGTCGCCTGCAGAGTATCTCTCAGGAAGGGTTTGATGCGATGAAACCTCGATACCTGGCGAAACAGGGCGTTTGTGGAGTAAACGTTACAAGTCACTTCAGCTTTGTAACGTCTGACTCCTCACAGTCCGAGGTTTTTACGACTGTGAAACTGTAAACCACTTTTAAACCCTCTTATCTGTGTTTATAAGGTCTGTTAAATTTGGGTTTGGGTGAACTTACACATGCATGTTGAATGTCCCGGTTATATGCCCGTTTAACACTTAGTGCAAATGGAACAAAGTATTTTTGTCTTGTAGCATCCAGCCCCACCTCAGATCTTCTGTTCCAACTGATTTCCTAACATCCGCTGTGCTGGCAACATCACACCAGAAACAAAAGTTCCTAGTTATGTGGGGTCAGGTAAGCAGATATTTTTACAATATTGTGGAGTTATGCAAAGTTATTAAAACTAGAATTTATATTTGATCGTAGAGAAGACAACTCTGCAAAACCACACAATATTGATAAAATCAAACCCAAGAAACCCCTGCTTACCTGACCCCTATCCCCTCCCTCTCTCCTCTGTGATAAATCAATGCAAGTGTACTTTGCTAACAGAGGGAATTGATCTCTGGTTGTCTGAAGCTTGGGCACACTTAGAATGGCTTTTTGTGGCCCTTGTGGACCACTGAGGGGGTGTGGGGTGTGGTGGAGAAAGCCCCTTCTCACACAGCTTTTACTTGCATGAACAGCCTCGTCGAAGCCCAGGTTATTTGTGCAAGTAAAAGTTGTGTAATATTACTGAGAGCAGGCAGCGCTCACTCATCCTGGAAATCATAAATTTGAATGTGCTTGACAACACCAGCTGTAGAACTCAAATTCAATTTTGTGATGTATAGGAAAGAAGGTGCTAAATAGAAACAATAATTGATTCTGGCACGGAGCTCCAACATGCATTCGCATATGTGTCAGAGTAGTTTTGTGGAGTAGTCGTTGGTTCATCTAAAACTAAATTGGGTGAATGCATACTGTAAAATATTCGTAGGCAAATCTGTTCTCCGGGTGCCAAACCTGCTGAAAGGAAAAGAGGACACTGAGGGAGGGAGGTGGATCTCCCTGCTTACAGTGCAAGTCAGCGTTGTTGTGGGTTTTTAACAGCTCTTTGCAAAAAGATTAAGATGTTGCAGGCCGTAATAAAAGTACGGCCTTGGAAAGGAAGGTTTAACATGTGTAAGCATGTGTTCTGCAGAACTGCTGTCGTTGGGAGGAATAGAGAGCACAGGCTGTTACAATCTGCAAAAATGTGCAGAAGCTTGGGAAAGGATTCCAGCATGAGCTTGCTCTGGCAGTTCAGAGAAGGAAAAAATCCCCATGTAGTCTCTCAGAAATTGTTCCCGTAGATGTGCAGACGGGGACAAATCGACGGTCACTTACCAACTCAGAACAGTACACGGGTTTGTACACCTCCACAGACAAACTTTTAGATACGGCCCCTGAAATGTGCCACCTGAAATTTGGCAGTGTTTGCTTAGGAAATCAGTTTCAAAGGCAACACTAACCTTGTTTCATCACAGCTGTTACCGTGATAGCAAAGTTAATGATGTGACTTACTAGTGATATTTTTATTTCAGAGCACAAAGTAATCATTGTTGGTCTGGACAATGCAGGAAAAACAACCATTCTTTATCAATTGTAAGTATGAACTGCAAGTGATGTTTCATGTATTTCAAGGTGTGCATCGTGTGTGTTTCTGACTTGCTGTCACTGCTGTCCCTGTTAGTTTTCGCTCGGGGTGTTACACTGAGGATTACTGAGCAGTGTAGGTGGCAGCGGGTCAAAGCGTGTGTTTAGGGTATGGAAAGGTCTGTGTTTTGCCTGGTATATGGATAAGGTTTTGTGCGGAGCTTTTATTTATCAGATTACATTGCTATTACCACTTAATTACAACTGCCTTTGGTGTCACCCTCTAGGCTGTTTGCCAACTCCACAAAATATGATTATACTGAGGGTTAGCCACAGGACAATGCTGCTAAACTCATCCACGCCGCAGCATGTAAATGCTAAACAAATTGTTCTGTGAGGAGCAAAGCAGTGAAGCCTGACCCCTTCCCTGCCACAGCTTGTGTCCCGTGTACCAAGACAGACTCTCACATCGTCCGTGGTCGGGGGGAAGGAGGAAGGTTGAGCGTTGGCTTTATTTGAGCCGCCAGCGTTGGTGGTTGTCGTGCAGCTTCTGCTTTTAATAGTGGCACTGACTTGTGTTTTGTCTTGCCTTAACCTTGCTGCTGGTTTACGTGAAACTTGTGTCGGCTTCGTATCTCTGGTCCTCAACTGGGTTTTGATAAAAGGTACAAATTTGTCCACAGGTTCAGAAGCTTCTAGGTGGGACAGGCGACTCAAGGTCTGTTTATAATAGAAACAGATTTGCAATTTCTCATGTGGAGTAGTCTGGTATTAGAAAGTGTTCCTGAGTCAGTATCAGAAATAATTCCTGTTAAGTGATATGACCGTGCTGTTCCAATCCTGCACTTAAAATACGCTTTCCTAAAATGTTTGGGTTCTGTCAAATTACAATCTACTTTTGCCTCTCTGAAATGTGAAACTCGTGCAGTGTTTCCAGCCTCTTATGCCCTAGCACGCTCTGCAGAGAAAGTGAAAAGATGAAGGTGGTTGTCATTATTTAAATGGGGAATGAGAGGTTTTTAAAAGCAGAAATAGAATGAAGAATATTTTTTAAGACTAGTAACTGCTGCAGCTGAGAGCCGTCCTCGGTGCATCTTAATGCTGCCTGTGTCTTTCCACTTCCTCCACAAATGTCTCATGATTCTTCTCATCTTCTAATTTCTGCAGTCTCAGTGTTTTCTTTTCCCTTTTGTACGGTGGATCTCTATAGGCCTCCTTTTCCTTTACACCCGTTTTAGCTCCACAGGACTTCCCCTTCTCTCCTTTCGTATTCCCCTTCCCCTGTTGGCTGCTTTGCCAGAGCTCTGTGTGAGTACTGTCCTCTGTCCCTCCTTAAACCCTACCTCCTATCCCATTTTTTCTCTTACCGTTGCTTCGTGGCAGACAGTGAATGAAGGAATATGTTTAACTCTTGTGTTAGAGGTGGGGAGAGAGAACTATCAGGACAACTAGTGTTGGTTAGTGCCCTTTGATGTCGTGGACGGTCACAGCAGACGTGGGAGTGGTGGTTCCTCTAACAGACTGCAGCAGCTCCACAGACACTTCATTTCTTCCCCGCTCTTGTACTCAGATCTCCTGCCCCCCCTCAGGTAGTGGTAGGATTTTGTGACCAGGTGTCTAGAAATGCCGTTAAGCTTCATGCTCACCTGGTTTCAGTGGGGAGGAGGGAAAAACCCACCTATCGTATTGCAAACTGCGAGGTGCCGACAGCTTGAATGTGAGAAGCTGCAGGTTCAGTCAAAGAAAGGGGATTCATCGTACATCTCCAAGCGTTAAAAGAACTCTGCTAAAACCTGCTTTTTAAATATGAAGTCAGCCACAGGCATCATCTTACATCATTTGTTACCCTTAATTTGATTTTATGATTCTTCTGATCCTTCTCTTTCCCCGATACAGTTGCACTCAAATGTGTGTGGCGAGAAGGTTTCTTGTTATGTGCCGCTAAGGCATGGGGTAACTGGGATTCCTTTTATCTCCTTGGTTCTCTGTATCCTCTTCAAGAAATGTTCCAACACAAGTCTCAAAGTGCTGTCGCTGTAACTAAAACCTCTGCCAAAGCTTCAAAAAATACTCATGGGAAATGAAAAAAATATATCATCAGAAGAAAAATAATTTAAGTTCTTTGAAAATGGTTGATGTTTTCCTTGAGGCTACTTTTAATTTTCTTGCATATCCCATAGAGTAGAGTTTAAGTAATTTGAGCTTTAGGAGTATCCAGAGTACACATTTGGTTATCACTGTTGATGTGAGACTGGTGCTCTTAATGGTGAAGTGGCACTCGGTCTCTCTAAACCAATATATTTGAAATACTTAATGCCTGCATTTGTCTCCCAGAAGTAGTGCTGCTGGACTGTGCTGAAAGGGGAAGAGGAGGAAGTTTGGGCATAAAATCACTGAACTGTGAAGAAAGTACGCTCTAGTGGCCTATACTGGAAGGAGAGCGGGTTGTAGTCTTGTTTGGTGCAGCTGGATGATGAGTTGTTGTTTTTCTGCAACCTTGGAAATCTTGTGGCTTAACCACATGCTTGAAGAAAAACAACTTCTTTTTCCCATGCGTGCCAAAATTGACCTGGAAAAAGAAAAGCTGACTGCTTAAACCAGCTTCTGAAGCAAATATTCTCTCAGCGTTATGATTTAAATAATTCTAATATAGTTTTGCTCGTGAATGCTCTCACAGCTTTATAATTCAATTATTACATAGTTCGCTGAGTCCTTTATTGCTATTTTTATCAATTGTTATTTTTATTTTTATACGACCTCCACCGTCAAACCTATCTGCTGCGTAAGGAGCGTTTGGTAAAATTCCCCGACTAAGCTTTCTACCTTCGGAATAGGCACCAAGTTTAGTTTTTACAGAAGTGGGTCGGTTGGGAGTCCTAAGGCGCGGGAGGCTGCAGGTAACGGGCCGGTTTTCGGAGCTTCTCACCGCCTCGTGCTCTCCCCTCTGCAGCTCCATGAATGAAGTGGTGCACACCTCCCCCACCATAGGGAGTAACGTGGAAGAGATAGTGGTTAACAACACGCGCTTCCTGATGTGGGACATCGGAGGGCAGGAGTCTCTTCGCTCTTCGTGGAACACCTACTACACCAACACCGAGGTGAGGGCGCGCGCCTTGCTGCCGGGCTTGGGGCGGCCGATCCTGGCGACGGGAAGGCAGCGGATCTGAGGCTGAACTAACTGTGCTCTGAGCGGCTCCGGAGCTGCTTCAGGGTGCTCCCGTTTTGGTTTTTGAAGTCTCCTCCTTCACAAGCTGGTGTACAGCTCGCTTTTCTGTTTCTGTAATACGGAGTCGCGGTTAAAACCAGCTTGTTTGTGAGGATTCTGTGCCTGGGGATCTGTGGCCTTGGGGCAGGTGCTGGGTTTCTCTTGGTGCTGCAGGTCCCCGTGGTTACGGTCCCTCTGGCTGACCGTGACTGCTCTGTCTCTGTAGCAGGTACTCTAAGACCTGTCTAACCCCTCCGGAGTAAGGCTGAAAGCCCAGAAGTTTTCCTCTGAGACTGCGGGAGCTCTCTCTTGCAAGCTCCCACGATCAATTTAATTAAGTACCCCCAATAATTTTTAAGAACTCTTCAGTGATGAAGTTGCAGCCCATATACTGGACTTGATGAAAATAATGATTTAAGTCAAGGTTTCCTATGTGTTATCACATGTGGGTTTTAAAAGAAGGGGGTTTTAATAATAATTAACTTGAGTTTTAACAATTTAACTTGTTAAATTTCCCATCAGATGCTATGACATGTATCTGCATCGTGAAGTTATAGAGCTTATGGGTGTTTCTAAATCCCTTGCACATATCTATTTGCCTGTTAGTATTTGAAGCAGAGGGAGAAAGCTGATGCAGTTTACCTTTTAAAGGCTGCAACAAATTGTTTGAGGGATCTGTGGGCTACCTCAGTTAAGCTAAGCACAGGACAAAACCAGATCTGGGATTATAGGGGAACACTTGCTTTCAGTATAAATTTTTTTCACTTGAAATTCAAAAGCAGAAAGTCAAAAGATGTGTTGAAGCTGCCTTTGTATACAAACCACGGCGTGAGCTGTACACCATACCGGCCCTGCGGGTAACCCCGCTCTGGCTGGGAGAAACCCATCTGGAATAGGATGGGATCTGATCCTCCGGCTGCCTGGCTGGGTAGGGAGATGGGAACAGGAATCTCCTCCGCTGACGAGTGCGTGGCCGGAAAGATAGAGCTTGTTCTCTGACTAATAACTTTTCACTTTTTAAAGTTTGTGATAGTTGTTGTGGACAGCACAGACAGAGAGAGAATTTCTGTGACTAAAGAAGAACTGTATAAAATGTTAGCCCATGAGGTGAGTAGACCCTATGTTTTCTTTGCTTTACTATTTACTGTGGGTCGGATCTGGATGATTCTTGCTAAGGGAGGCAGGCTCACACGCTGTTGGTGAAAGCTCTCACTTACTCCTACTAGCTGGAGTCCAACCAGAACAGCGAGAGGCCTCTCCAGTGCAGCCCGAGGCAAACGTTAACAGCCGCCTTCTCCCAGCTGCGGGTCGGACTGTGTCAGAGCTCTCTTGTTCCTGCTAGAGGCTTTGTCTTCTGTGAAGCTCGTAATAAAGCTGTAAATTAATACCAAATTACTGAGGAGAACTCCCACAAAAGTAGTTTTTCAACTTCTGAGTGCTTCAGTGAAACAGAAGTTCGGACCTGTGAATGACTTCTGTGGTTTTATACTCCAGTCCATGTTAAGAGCTGAATGAGATCGCTTTAAAAAAAAATACTATTTCCTCCAACAACTTAATCACTATTTTTGCTAGCTTCATGGTTGCTTGATGTTTTCTGTTTTGATGGTGAATAGAGCCTTAATAGATAGAGCCTTAATAATATGTCTTATAGCAACCAGCTGTAGACCTGAGGGAACGGACTGCCTATGGCTATAGTAGCCGTCGCTCTACCTTTCTGTGAAATTTCAGAATGAGACTATAATTGGCAACCTTGTAAAGGCCCTCTTTAAAAGTGAGTACTGTATCAGGTCTAAAACTGAGTTGCCTGGGTCTAGAGTGCTGTATAAGCCAAGGAGTGACCTGAATGTCCCGAAGATTTTAATCCATGTGGGCAGTGTGGCAGGACCGGAGCCCTGATTTTTACTGGAGATGTGTTTAGATCAGCTTGACTACTGCTGGGGCTCGTAAGACAAGTTTAATGCAAACTGGATCAGTTTTTACAAGATGACACTGAGGACACTGAGTTTCCAAATTTAAGAATACAAAGATGTGCATAAAATTGATGGCATTATATCCCAAAATATTCCATCTATATTTAAACTATAGCCAGTAGCCATTGTTGAGTAGATGACTGCAGGAAGGGCAATGACTGCCTATGTATTTTCTTTGAGTGATCATGGTAATCTAAAATATTTGAGAAGAGACAAGTTCTTTGCCTAGTGTCTTGAATTTCTAATTTTAGGTATTTAAATTAAAAATTATGTTTAATAAAATAAAATCTAATAAAGTAGCTCTGGCTTTCTTGGTTGTGAAGTGTTAAATGTGGCCTGGGGGGAACTGTTGCCACTGGGTCTGCTGCTGTCATAATTAGAATTTTAGAGATGTACTCTTCAGGCGCTAAACAAAATTACATCTTCTTTTTTTGTAATCTATAAAAGAAGATGCAGAAGTTGTTAACGAACTGAATTTGAAATGAGGGAGGTCTGGAACTCCCAAGCACCACGGATGCCCTTGTTTCATGTTGGGAGGCTATTTCTGTGCTCTGAAAGCACCCATCTAACAGTACATGTGCCCACTCTTTTACAACAGGATGTTTTTGGTATATTCTGCTAACTCTCCAGATGCTGTGGTGTTTGAAAAGAGCAACAATACACATAAGCTGAAACAAAAGTCAAATATTTATTTAGGGTAGCTTTTCCTTGCAGCCCTTGAAAATCTTTTATTTCTGATAACCAGTTCAATCGAATTTTTGTTAAGGCAAAATTGAGTTGCCCAGGTCAGTTCCATCTATTTCCTGGACCAGCAGATCGTTTGGGAATTAATTTTACTGCTTGTAAAAATTAGTGTGCCTGATAGGCGTTTAAGTGAAGGAGTTGTCTCGGCTTCCTAGGAAGACCTTTTTGCTTTCAGAGGGACAGATTTTCAGTAATATGAGCCTGGACTAATGTAATTCCAAGCAGCTTGAGATAAAATAAGCTTGCCCCTAGAGTCGCTGTTCTCTCCATTGTTAGTACTGGTATTGCAAATATTGCATGGGCCTTATAAAGAAGTTTATTGCAATGCGCTTGTTCACGTAGATGTCCGTTTCTAAAGCAGCGTACCTGGTGGGTTTCTACAAATTCTGTGTATCCGCTAAATAAAATATTACTGCAGCTTGCTTTACGCTGTCAGTGGCAGCCTGAACGCTTCCTAATGGGAGGGATTTCCCTCGCAGAGGACTGCTGCACAGGCAGAGCCTGCCTCTGGCTTTGCTGAGCCACAGTGCCAGCCTTGGCAGGGCTTTACTAGAGCTTAAAAAGTTCTGGTGGTGTAACCTGCTCTTGCCCCACATAAGAGCTGCTGTGCAGTCCACTAATTTGGGAGTAAAATCAATCTTAACAGTGTGTTCACACATAAAAGTGGGGCATGTAGATAAAAGCCAGGCTCAAGGCTGTGGTTGGTTTGGATACAGGGGCAGGAGTGACTTGCAAGGTCAGGGTTAAACGGGAGGCCTTTGGCTGTTAGAGGTGTGTGGCATTCCTCCAGCTGGGCACACAGAGCTGCAGTGTGCCCCCAGCCTCAGGGAGCACAACAGAATCTTGTACCTAGTTTTACAGATCATCCCAGGCAAAAATTGGACGTTTGGTCTGGTGGATCAAAGGATTTTCTGAAGTTACATGTCAATCAGCCTGCGGCGTTCTGTAGGATTTTTTTTTGCTAGGGCTTAAGGTTCTTTGCTTTGGTATTGCATCTTTTGCCTCCAAGGGCTGATTTGTAATCATCTTCTTTTTTTCCTTCTTTCTTCCTAGGACTTAAAAAAAGCAGGTTTGCTGATTTTTGCTAACAAGCAGGACGTTAAAGAGTGTATGACAGTAGCTGAAATCTCTCAGTTTCTGAAACTGACTTCAATTAAGGATCATCAGTGGCACATCCAGGCGTGCTGTGCTCTAACTGGAGAGGGGTAAGAGCTCTTCTTGTCTCTAGGAGGGGAATCTCGAATTATTTTGGTATTTTTATTGTCGTGTTTAGTTTTAACACACATTCCTCCCCTGCCAATAATAACCTTACACTTAAAGATTTTGGGGCTCAGAACATACTGACTTAGGATCGGTGTGATCTGGAAATCAACTCTCACATCAAGTCCCCAGTCTCACCACACAGTGATAAAACTATATGGTTTGGGCTTCATGAGGATGGGGGTGGGAATGACCTAAAATCCGTTCTGGTTCATTAAGCATCATCATAATTAGAAATAATTTCAGTGTATGTCTTGAAGTGCTGGCATCTGAAGTGTCTCACCTGTAAATTGCATAATAAGATCAAGGAAATGCTGCACTCGGAGTGAATGTTTCTGGAAACGATTCCTTCACTCAGAGTTCTTGGGAAGAATTTAAATCGGTGCCATGGAATTATCTTTGAAGTTATCCTGAGAAGTGCTTGTATTCCTTAAAAATGATCTCTTTCGTTTACAGACTGTGCCAAGGACTCGAATGGATGATGTCAAGACTTAAGATCAGATGATTTTTAATGACCTCTTTGCACAGACATTGCTTAAAAAGAGCTGTACCCATGATTACCTTCACAGTGGCAGAATTAATGGGATAGATGTATTTATACTGAACTGATTGCAACTTTATTTTCTACATAGATGCACACACACATACGTGTATATAAAGTAAGACCATTCGGCAAAAAGAAAGATGCAGTTGATGGCTCCAGTTTGGTTTCTCGTTTGTTTTCCTCTGAGGATGTGTTTAAAAGCTGTGATCAACCTTCTTTTCAAGATACAGCCACTGAGAACAGTCCAGTGTTGAGCGTGGTCAAGATGAAGTGAGAGGAAGGAGCTTTTAATTTTGAGTTTTATTATTCCATTGTAGTCCTCTCTAGTCGAAGATGTTGGCTTCATTATTCCAGTAAATTAGCAAGCAAACCGATGGCATAGATACCAACTTTCCAGTATTTTTAAGGTTACTGATGTTACAAATGCAAAAATATTTTCCTGTATGTGTACTGTACATATTTGTGTATATTTATACCTCAATTTTAGGTTAATTGCAATCTGTTCAGACCAGTGTGTAAAGCTGAATCGGTATGTTGACAGTAGTACTAATATTTGACATTGCCAACACGTCACAACTTCTTTTCCTTTGTTATCTGTATGGCCGTAACGTCCATCAGACAGTTGGCTCACCACCACTTTATAAAAGAAACTCTCTCAAGACCATTGCTTTTTTTTTTTTCCCCATGATTTTTCAGTTAGGGAGGATGCCATAAGGATTGGGGCATATGGACTGAGCTTCAAATCACAGTGTCGGCAAACAGTAAAAATTTGCCAAAGAATTCAAAATGAAACGGGATTTTCCTTGTGTCTTGTAGTCGTCATTGGATTGGGTGATTCCAGAAAGGCTGTGTCGTGCTGTCCGATGGTACTGCTTTTTTTTTTTTTTTTTTTTTTGATTCAAGTCTAGTAGAAATACCTTTATCTGTCATAAAGGGAAAAATGTCTTTTTTTTTTTTCTTAACCAAAGAAGAGGCACAAAAAGTATGTTTAAAAGTCCCACTGGAATCTTACAAAACAAGTCATACTCTGTATTAAGTGTTTTTCAGAGGAAGGCGCGCTTCTCTTTGGTAGCATAAAATGTATAAATATCTATATGCGATGGATGGCACTGGGATGGAGACCAGAACAGATTACACTACTTGAAAAGCTGTCAGTGACCCCCTGATCATGTGCCCAGAGAAGTTCCAGGGCAGTACTTCTTGAAACTAGAACTCCCTTGCATGGTCCCCAGGTGAGTTACGAAGAAGCGTCAGAACACTATGTGATTATCTTCTCTTACTGCAGTACCTAATGGGGTGAGTGTCCCCTCCAGAATTGGAATTACCCTTTTAAAGGTTGTTTTTTTGGGTGGGGTGACAGTTGGGTGGTTGGAAATGTTGTCAGTATTGTGGAAGTGTACGTAGCCTCACTCACGGGCTTTTATGCTGGAGATGCGTGTTTGGGAGTATAGCAAAATGAAATAAAACTTCATTTAAAATGTCCTTCCCTTCCTTAGCTCCTATATCTGATAAGGATGGAAAAGACATTTTAAAGAAGAAGCCTAGTTTGAACTTTTTAAGGTGCTTATCTTTGGCTATGGGATAATCTAGTCAGTGCACCTGCCTTCCTGTTGACCTGCTTCACCAGGGATCGTGTTGTGAATTTGTAGGGAAAAGAAGGGAGGCAATTTCAAAAGTCTGTATTTAACAAAGGCAGGTGAAGAATTTAACTTTTTAATATATTTTTGGTATCTCTTTACAGTGCTCATTGGCTAGGGAATCGGCTGTCTTTGTTAAACATTTTAATGTGTACATGCATATATTTATAGTGCATGCACATAGATATTGGTATTTAACTGGTGTATTGCAAAATGTATCAATGTTTGAAGAAATAACAATTTAATGCAAAGACTTTCTCAATTTATCTGATGGTATCTTCAAGAAATGAGCTCTGTGCACCCTTGCATATGAAATGGAATTGTACGTTTTCTAGTCTTAAAAAAGAAAAAGCAGACTTGCTTATAAACCTAAGCGTTTGGTTTTCGAGTCTTATGTCTTCCCTTTCATCCCTTTAAAATATTTTGCTTTTGTATTGTTAAACACTGCATATTTCTGCCTGAATTTGCACAGGTTGTGTGTGTTGGGGTTTTGTTTGTTTTTAAGAAAACGAGTTATTCCCGTTAATGAAAGAAAAACCACGCAGCAGTATTCTGATACCTGCTTCTTGCTGAGATTTGCTGCTTTCTCCCTCGCTTGAGTTTGTGGGACTTGGCATGTCCATATGATGGAAGTGTGGTGGCTTTGTCCAGGTATGGTTTATGCTGCAACCAGACATCTTATGTTTACATGAAAGTAAACTTAGGTTTACTCTTTCTCCCTCTTGGTTTCTGGCCACTTCCACTTTCTGTGGCCTTTAAGATACCACGTGGTTCGCTTCAGCTTTGTTTCACAAGTGGCAGCAGACCCTAGCAGGGAGCTGAATACCTGCCCGCGTGAAGACTGCCTCTTAAAACCATGTCTTTTGTGCCCTGAGGAGTTTATAATCCAAAAATTAACTCGTTCTCAGCGTGTTGGATGGCGAACAATCCAGCCTTAACCCGACTGCAAAGGCGGGGTGTGGCACATCACCTGTAATGATGAGTTTTCTGTCTGTTTTGTGATCCTCCAGTATTTTAGAGGGCAGATGCGCTCTTCAGTGGCTGGAATTCAGTGGTGGCCAGCGCTTGTGGACACACTGTGTGCCTGAAGCGTTCCTCATGGGGGTTTAGGAATCCGTGGAGGACATATATTATTTTAAATGCTGCCTTTTAAATGCTGGATTTGCAGCCTCTGGGAGGACGATGGGTTTGGGCTGTAGTAGCTGGGAAACGATTTGTCACTCCATTGTCAACAGAGGCAACGATTCCAAATTGTCACCTTGCATGGTTGGTGTGATCGTGCTTTTAAGTGCAGCGATGCATAGTGAAAGCAGAATAGTGTCATCCAGACGTTGCCGTGGGAGCTTTTGTAGGAAAGTTTGTCTTACCTGACGGTTTTTCATCATGAGAACAAGTGTGTTTGCTCAGATAATAACGAGATGAACATCAGATGAATATACAAGTCTATACCCTGGCGGTAGCGGCGTGGCCGTGACGGCCTTTTCCTGTACACGTCGCCTTTTGCGGAAAGTTAGAAATATTTTTAAATTTAGTCACTGAGCAGGGCTGGAGAAGAGCAGACCAACTTTGGAACACACCAAGCCTTTTTGTCTGCGCTTCTTGTTTACAGCTTTTTTTTTTTTTTCTTTTCCCTGTAGGACAATTCGCATTTTTCTCACAGCTCTGTAGAAAAGCAAGTTAACTTTGCATCAATGCTGCTTTCAGCTTCATTGGGTTATTGTTTGGAAGTGATTGTCTTAACATGAGTCATGACCTTGATTTGTATTGCGTGTGTGTTTTCACCCTCTGTGTGTTTTGTCGCCTTGGCTTTCCGCTAAAGCTTAAGATTACTTTGCCTTTGTTCTTCATGAAATTCATTCTTAGGATATTATACAGAAAAAGGGAGGGGTCTTTAAAAACGGTTATTTATGTTTATGCTGCAGAATGCCATTTTACTAGCAAAAAAAAAAAAAAATAGCAGTAAGTCGTATTTCAATAATCTTAATACTTAAAATGTTGCTTTTGGTTTAGCAGATAATAAACTTGGGAAATCATCTCTCTAATATGCTGCCTCTGTCATCTGAAGATTCCACAGGTTGTTAATTGTGAGGGAAGGTGGAATATAAAACTTGGAAAATGTGAACAGGAATCTACCTAGCTTCATTTTTGAAATTTTTCTTTTTTTCAGGGAGGCTTAATAGCTGTTTTCCTATGCATTACAGAGTATGTTCCTAGGGGTAGGAGTGCATGTGTGAACGTTAAGCGTATGTGATGGGCACCTTCTACAGTCTATGCAGCTCAAGTGCCTAAAACTAGTTCAGTGATCACTTTTTTTTTTTTTCTTCCTATGCTACAATTTCCATTTTCCTTAAAATAGATATATTTCTATCAAAGCATCCAACTGTGTGTAAAGGAGTGGGTTTTTTTTTTCCCTCCCGACACACCGGTTTTAACATGATTTACGATAAATTTGTTACAGTTCCTTTCTATCCTCTACGTTTCAAGCCCTTTTCCATTTATCAGACATCACATAGCTGGCTTGCTTTGTGAAAGGAAATATTAAATTTGTCCTTGTATCAGATTGGTGAGCTGGAATTCTTTTCAAGGAACTCTTTAAATAACTTAATCCATGGTTACTTGGCCTTGGAAGCATCCTCATGTCCGTAGTTCCTTTTTAATTGGCTAGCAAAACATTAACTTTGCAACCATCAGACTAATTATGTCTGAAAAATAGTTTTCAGTCAATTCAAATGAATGTATTATTAAGCCTTGAAATGGTGCATTATTGAGCATTACAGGACAAGAATGATTAGACGTCACAAGGAATGGCACTAAGAAAGAAAAACGTCTTTGCATATAGTTGTGGTATGTATTATAAATACAAATGTGACTTGAATATAATTGTTGCAGTGAATATATTAAATGTACAAACCCAAGAAATTATAAGTGGTTGCCACTGTAACTTTTTCACAGTGTGCTTTAGAATCATAAGCAGAACTTATATTCTTGCCTTACTAGGACTTTACTGGTTAATTTTTATATTGTACAGAAACTTTTTTTGAAAAACGTTCTTCACATTAGATAGGAGCCTTTATTCATAACAGGTTCATACTCATGTACCACCCTTAATCTTTTAAGGCAGATTTCTTGTGAGTAAGGGCACAAGTTGGGTGGGTTTTTTTAAAGCTTTTCCTATTTGTAAATTTAGAAAATTTAGCTGATACTGAATTAAGTTAGAAAATGCTGCTTTACCTAGAAGGCTGTAAATCATTCTCTGTAAATCATCAGCTCAGTGTTACTCTTGTCTCAGTACTTCCTGCATCAAACACTCTGGAGGGTAGGAGAGGTGGCCAAGAAAAGACGTAGTCTTCTGAGGAGAGATTCAAAGATTTTTAGAAAACCCCAAACCACCTCAGATTGGAAAGCCTGAGCGCTTTCATGGCTAATAAATTGAAGTATTGGTAGTATATGATAGAGGGATGGTAACCGATGCAGTTTAAACAGTGCCTGTATTATGTTTTCATGAATGTTTTCAACACATCCTCAACTTTTTTACTGAATTCTTTTCCAAACCCTTTAATCCCGTGGCCACAGCCCTGCGCTCGGCCCGTTGGTGCTGCTCGGGGCCGGGGAGGGCGAGCCCAGCGCATCGTCCTTAGGCTCTCCCTAGTGCTGGCCTATAATACTAACCTCCAACACTAAGCCGGCAGCAATTTGAGGATAAAGTAAGCTGTTCAGATTAGTATACTAACGATGTAGTTATGTTGTAGCAGATTATCTTTCTGGTTTTTGCAACTGCAAGCAAACATCCCTATGTATACGCATTAATCATATGACCAGGGTCATATTTCTTTTGGTTAACTTGTATTTTGTACTTTTCTTTCTAAAAAAGTTTGTCGTCTTTCTAAAAGAAATGCGTAAAGTATGTGGCTAACACTGATACTGCAATAAAATGTCATTCCAGAACAGACAAAATTACTGCTTCAGATTAATCCCAGGATTTGCGAGGGCTGGCGTTTCCTGGCTTGAGCACTTTTGTCTCTGCAACTTGCGCATGTTTATTAAAGTCGTTTAGCTAAATCTTTTTATAAAGCTATTTATTCGAATAAAGTTCAATTATGATTCTATTAAGTAACTTTTCCTGAAATTTTATCAGAACATTCCTTGAATTGTTTCCCCCTTACCTCTTTCTGTCTCTCCTGGCTTTTAAAATCTGACTTTCATTCATTTGAAGGCAACTCATTCAGTTCTTCTAATGTTTGCTGAAGAAGTGAAACACAAATTCGGGCTAAAATTGTTGGGGGGGAGCTGTTTGCAAGCATAAATACACATTTATAGATAATGTCAGACTTGCTAATTCTTGCAAACCTACCAGTATTTGTTATTTTAAGATGAAAGCACTTGTCAAAATTTTACTGTTTGCATTAAACCCTTTGTGTGTATGTGTTGCGGTGAAACTTTTCAAGCCAAGATACAATTTCTGACCTGGCACACGGGGTTGCTGGGGCGTTCTTGGGGTGAAATGCCCTGTTCTGCTAAACCTGTGATGATGGGGTTTGTACTGAGAGATTGGTTGGCATTTGGGCCCAGATTGGTAAGGGGTATGTGTTGGCTGGTTTCAGATAGACTGGAAATTAAAATAAATGCTGAAATGCTCTTTTCCCGTGTAGAAAATGCTGTGTTCCAGTGGTGTACCACTCCTGCCCGCTCACGTATCGCACGTTGGTATTTGCAGCCTTGTGAGTGTGGGGAGATTACAGGTGACTTCTTAGAAAGTGAAAGAGGTGAAACCAAAGCTGGGTTAAAAAAGAAAATTACTGTGTTACTGTACCCAAGGTACGCTGCTGCTCAGCTCGGCAACTCAGTCTTGTTCCATGTGTGTGAATTCTGGACTTCTTGCTTTATTTCTAACTCTGCAGTATTTGTATCCTTCTGGTAATCCTGTAGAATGGCTTTTCGGTGAAGTAATGCATTGGCAGGCGGTCTTGGCTGAGTTTGGGGCAGTAAGTAACCTCCTCCTCCCGCCTCCGATTTTAGCTGTGTGTCTACCTGAAGTCTTTTTTCCTCCGTGACGCAGTTTTCCCGCTCGGGTGGGTTTTGTCTCCTGCTCTGCTCCTCCCTGTCCGTGTCATGTGCTGCTCTACTCCTCCTCCAAACATTTTTTGCTGGAGGGTGAAGGAACGGTGAGCTGCCTTCAGAGCTGTGCCCACTCGCGGGCTGTGTCCTGTTTCTTTTTCTCTTAATTCACTTATTCCTTGACTTTGCTACAACTTTTCTGAAAACCACTCATTTCTCTTCCAAAACCAATTGAATACAAGGTGATTAAAAAAAACCAAACAAACAAACCACACCATTATCAGATACTTATTTTTGTTGGGTTTAGTACAGGGTTCCCCTGAGCTGTTGGTTCCTCGGGCCACGTGCCTGTTGCCTCCCTCACGTCCCCTCGGGTCTGTCCCAGCCTATAGATCACCACGTTGGTCTATAAAAAAAAAAAAAAGACGTACAAAATAAGTATTTAATAAGTATTTCTGAAGGTTTTTATTCTGGTTTTAGCATTAAATACCTGTATTCTTTTTAACTGCGCACAGAAAAAAAAAAAAGTGTTTGCCACTGATGAACTCTTGACTGTTTTACTTCTGCGTCCAACAACTGTCTTGCGTAGAGCAGACCCGAATGAAATGAGCCTTGGCTGGTGTATGAAACTGTAAATAGACTTTTTAATAGAAAATGCTGGTAATGTTGGCTTTTTTTTTCTTGACTGTATGAAAGTTTAACTGCTGTGTTCTCTTTGTTTTTGTTTTTAAAATTAAAACATAATATAGTACTTTTTTGATCCTGTTACTACTTTTTAAATTACAGGTCGTATCACTACTCTCTCGTTGCACAGTCTGTGCTGATTTACTCTCTCTGAACACGGTTCTTCAATACAAGGTTGAGTTGGATGCAAAGCTACAGAATAGTGAAATATCTTCAGAGTTAATTCTTGTTATTAACTTTTTGTTTTGTCTGGCTTTTTGCCCCTGATTCTTCAGAATTGGAAGGCCTCCCCCTGCCCAAATACGTATGTGTGTATATATCTGTAGGCAAACTACTGGGGTCATGCAAAGAGATGCAGATTGTGGAGTAGTAACGATGAAAATTGTCTAAATTTTTGGTACATAAAAAAGATTCGGTATAATGCTGGTACTGTTGAAGACTTGCTTCTGAGGTCCCTGTACTGTTGAATCCAAACAGACGCCCCGTTATTACCTGTATGTATAGCTTTGAAACGTGAATTAAGGGATGCGTATTAGAGCTGTGTAAACAACTAATAAACCTGTTTGTATTAAGTTGGCTAGATAATTTATTTATTTTAGACCCACCGTACCATTTTCAGAGTAAGCTTGACAACTTGTTTCTCAAGATGATATGTGTGATAATAATTTTAAATTTGTTCAGCGTACTGTGTTTTGCCAGGGTAGTGCTACTGCTCGCAGAAGTACCTGAGCAGTTTTTAACCCCGTGGGTAATGATGAATTTATTACCCGTGGGTAATAATGACTCTCATCCTGGTGTGATGGTGGCCAGGGTGATGCTGCCACGGCGAGGCTGTTCAAGTCCCCGAGTCCTCCCTTACTGTTGCAATACAGATTTTCTTGTGCTTTTAGGAAAGACTCAGTTGTCTACAGTGTGCTAAGCAACAATAATTCAATTGCTTGGTTGGTTGAGAAGCTTTTTTTTTTTTTTTTTTTTTTTTTTTTTTGGCTTTTAATATATTTGACAACATATTTGAGTACGGGTTGTTGGTAGCCTGTCCCTAGAAGCAGTATTGGTGTGTGTCAAATCTCTTCTGCTCTGAGATGCCCCAGGGGCTGTACTGAGACTATTGACCCAGCAGCCAACAGCCTGGCTGATAAATGAAGTCCGGAACTTAACTCAATACACAGATCTTCATAAGAACTTTCATTATATTGCTTTTCATCCAGACTTATGTCAAACATGTCTCAAGAAACAAAGTGAGGAGAATTACTAGTTCCTTAAGAGCATGTTAACGGAAGAAACGAAGGCTGCTTTCCAAAGCACATTTTTAAACTGTAAATTTTCTCTCTCCACAGAACAGCTCTTGCATGTGTCAGCCAGGGGCATAAGAGAAATCAAACCTGCTGTGAGTTCGTAAAGTAATAAATTGTCACCAATCCTTGCATCGCGCCCGTGCTTGTTCACGACTAGTGGTGTGCAAGAACCTCAGCGGTTCCTTCACGTGTCGGTCGGTCATGGAGGGTCTTTGCTGCGTGGGGCGGGGGCTCTCGCCGGTATCCGCTGGCCTGCTGTGTGGTGAGAGCGGGTAAGACCACCAAGATCTTTTAGAGGAGCTCAGATATCCACGTACCTTCCTCTTCCACACGCCTGCACCGCTGATCACCTCCAGACCCCAGCATAAAATAGGAACTTATTTACTCAACAGACCAAGTGGCTAAACCAACTGATTTTACACAAAATGCATTAGACGCTCCGAAGCTTTTCCTCTGCTGCAGACAAACTCAGAAGTGCTCAGTTTTTGGGTAACGGATTTTTGAAGTTACCCCTTTTATATTCCTTTCATAATGTATGTCATGTGGAGATAAAGTGGCCTTCAAGTGGTCTGATATGAACGTTTTTGATTTGAGATCTGGTGGGGGGGGGTTCTGGTTCTGGCAGCAGCAAGCTAAATCCAGCTGCTGACGGCAAATGCCAACATCCCCTCACCCTCTGCGTGTCTTGTATGAAGAATCCTTTAGTGATCCATGTGCTGATAAACTCTGGTAGCCAATCCCCATTTTTATCAGTATTGGACTATTCCTTAAAGGTGAACTCCTGCAGAGAGGAACAGCCCCTCTTCGCCATCCTGTGGACAAGAGCAGCCGGAACCCAGGCAGAGCAGATTTTCCCCTGTGTGTTCAGACCATTAATTCTTACCTTTCCTGGTGCATTTAAGGAGAATCCTGGGATAATGCAAAAAAAATGTGTGTGTTGGTAAGTTAGGTAGCTCTTATCTAAGATCTAGTGGGAAAATTTCATTCTTAACTTGTGGGCTTTGCTATTTCATGCTGAGCCCAAATCCAGGACAGAGGGCTGCTGGGGCAGGGAGAGGGGGGAAGGTATTTGGAGGGTATCTGAGCTTCAGCTAATTTTGAGATTTAAAATTAAACGTTATTTCTGCTTTTCTGAAAGCAAGAGGTCCCTCTGGATTTTGATCAACAGGTTTTTCCTCCCCTTTCCCCCTCATGGCCCTTGGGGAGAGGCAGCTCAGCTTTGCAGGCTGAGTAATTTTTTTTCCAAAGCCATTTCTGCCTGGAAGTGTAATACAGAATAGGTGATGTGGTAGAGGTATAGAGGCAAAGCAAATAAAACTATTGTTTTTCTGGGTTTTGGTGGTGGGTACAGATTTACTGAGGGGACTATGGTTCCCTTCCCACATCGCCAGCAGATGGTGAGGCCTATATATTCCCATTTGCGTGGCACAGTTGGACCCATCTGCACCCCTCTGCAAATGATAGCATGGCTGGAGCTGCTCCAGAAAGATTATAATTATCTTTGCTTTTCTGCCAGTCAAAGCTCACTCCAAAACCTGAATTATTACCCGTTTCTGAGCATGGAGAGTGGCTCAGGAGCCAGCTTTCACCTCCTGCTTGGCGCTCCCTTTCTGAAGCCGCTGCGAATGTTTTCTCTCCTTGGGCTGCTTCCTTCCAGGGAAGCCAGATGGGGGCAGGATCCTCCTTTTTATTAGCAAATACTTAAAACAAAAAGTGCTTTTTTTAAAAGGGAATTTTGCTATATCCAAGAGGTGATCAAACACTTCAAGCCTGCGCTGCCACCAAAAGAAATTCCCTTCCCCTCTCCCTCCCTCGCAGCACCACAAATGTTTGCATGGGGCTTGGGGGCCTCACTGTCATAAAACTACTTTTATTTGTAACTTTCTGAATAACTTAGAGCTAAATCAGTGTAGTTCAGGCTGCTCGAGCAGCTGGTTTGGGCACTGTCAAGGGGTAGAAATAGGTGGTGAGGAGCAGGAGGGTAGGACAGAGGTGGGACTGAAGGAACTGGAGATGTTGGGAGGGTCAGTTTCCCCTTGTGGCTCTAGTGCTGGTTTAGCACCAAGCCTGTTTTCATATGTAATATTAATTTTGATAAATTTAGATGATGCCTGTGCCCAGATAGTGACTCGCTGCTAAACTGAGACATGGGCTGAGTGGCCCCACTCCAGCGCAGCATTGCACTCAGCGTCTCGCTTTGGGCAAACAAGAAAAAAAACCTTACGTGGAGCTAGGAATGTGTAAACCAAATGTTTTGATGTCTGATCACAATGTAACAGTCATTAGTGTAGTTACAGCGATGAGACCAGAGAAGCTCTGAGACTGAGACCCCACGCTGTTGGGTGGATAGAAAGCCTGTGGCTCTTTTAATGTGAATTTATTAGCCATAAAAGCTTTTTTAATGGCAATTTATCAGCCATAACAGGTGCTGTTAACCACTGAAAGCACCAGCAGCAAACTAGGAACCCGGCAGAGGCTGTCATTGCTGTAAGGAAAGTACTGGGTAAAGGGCATGGGCTGCAGTTGTTGGGGTGACACGGATCATCATAGACTTCAACAGGAACAAGATCTAAATTCTTGCATTAATTCACCCACCAAGGATGAAATTCTGTGAGGAACCCAAAGCACGGAGCTGCGTTGGTGTGTTGGGAGAGGAAGGAAATTCTCTGTAGGTGGGAAATTTCAGAACCCTGTTTTTAGAGAATCACAGATTCATCGAGGCTAGAAAAGCCCTTGAAGCTCCTCCAGTCCAACCACGCACCTCACCCTGACCATTCCCAACTCCACCAGATCCCTCAACACTTATTTTTAATTTAAAAATCTGAAGTGGCCCAACCTTCACCCAGCAAAATACCTCCATCTGCTTCAGGTCTCTCTCTTTTTCAGGATTCACAGGGATGATAAACCATGAACATGAATTTGGTAGAATTAAGGGAGAAGCCTTGGGATGAGCCCTGTTGTTTAGGTAAGGTTTGCAGTGACTGGAGCCGGGGGTGAGGGGGGGGTGTTGCAGCAGGGAGCTGACCCGCAGAGTCGGGGAGCAGCACGGCTGCCCTGCCCCGGGGACACCTGGAGCAGACCCCCCCCTCCCAGTGCTGGCAGCGGGGTGCAGGTTCCCCAGCTGCCGAGGTGTCACTCGGTGTCCTCGTGTGCGAGCCTCCCTGGACAGATCCCCTCTCTCGCAGAGGAGAATGGGGGGAAAAATAGGACCAGATTACTGGAGATGTGAGTTTGAGTCGTGCCATCTGTGTGGTAGGATGTGTCACATAAACTGCCTTATTCCCCAAACTGTGGCATGTATAAACTTACTTTGGGCTTAACTGTTACTAAGCCTGGCCTGGGCAAACGCTGTTGGTTTCCTTATTGACTGGGTCTTTCGGAGGGAAAAGCAGAAAGTGTCTGGGACAAGAGTGGTACAACAAAGCGGGCTGAGTCCAGTCCCATTGTCTGGAGTGGCTGGTCCCCAGGGCAGAGGCTGGGCAGCACTGGGAGGAAAACCTGCTAATGCTTGGCATGGGAAGACTGAGCCTGTCCG